TTCTTGTTCTCCATGCCCTCTCTACGATGATCTTGGACGATACCTCGAGCTCCTTGTTATTTTTGTTTTTTCCTTTGCTGGCTGCCTGCCACCTCTGCTGCCTCTTTGGTGCGGTGCCTACCCTACACTAATGCGCTGGTGCATACTGCACTGCTGTAGTACCTGGTACTGGTGTACGTTGTCCTTCGATTTTTCTTTTTTTTGTTTTTGTGGGAATAGATCTATATATGTGTTTGTTTTTCGCCCCCCGTCTTGCTGCACCCCCTGGGGTGTGGTGCAGGGCGGGGGATGCCTGGTCGGCGGGAACCCGGCACGGAACCCTCCGGCGTTGTAGGCGGGTGTGGGAAGCGTTCCCCGTTCTCCTTTTATTTTATTTTGATCGGTCTCCTCGACGCTCTTTCTCGTTTGGTGCGGTAGCTGGTCTTTCTTTCTATCATTTTGTGTCTCTTCCGAGTGGTTTTTGTACCCTATTTTTTTCTGTTTCTTCGTGGGGTCGTGTATGCCGGGTTTTGAGACCACGGGCTCCCAATCTTTTTTTTTTTTTTCAGAGCTAATGTGAGAAACAACAACAACAACAACAACAACAACCCCTCCGAACCAACCCAACCCGAGTTTCACGAGAACCCCACGCTTCACTATCGACTGATCGAGGGCCGGTGGCGGAGACGCCTGGAGTCGAAACCCGTCCGGGATGTCCATCTTCAGCGTTTCTTCCTCAGGCGACAATTCGTCATCGTCGTCGAGCTGGGTCCGCGGGTCCTTATCGCTGTCATCCTCTCCTGACAAGGCACAGAGGAGGCATCGTCTGTTGTTGTGGCTATTTCCGAAGCGGGGACAATATGCCAACACTAATTAATGTGTCAACAAGAGGAGCTTTCGTCCGCAAGGGTAATTCTTCTGTGCTCCGAATGAACGCGAAATAACAATTATAGCATTTATCGTTTTGATCACAGGCCTGCGTGCGGACCACCACGCTTTCTGCGCAATTTCTGTCGGGCGCTGTGAGCGCAGCAGGCTTTTCACTTGG